TATGTACGTTGGGCATATGCTGATCAGGCCTGAACCCTATTTTAGGGTCTTGGACCCTATTTAAGCCTCCATTTGAGTGATCCTTGAGAATTTTGGTGATTTGGTTAGTTTTTGGTGCATATTATCGAAGAAGGAGTTCGTTGAGGAAGCATTGCTTGGCTTGCAGCTTGTGGATCCAAGCCCTAATCATGTTGATCTAGCTCAAGAAAGCATAAAGTTTGAATCGTGGTGGCTTTCTCATGTGGATCTAATGGGGTGATCACTTGTTTTGTTTTGCTTTTGAAGAAGAATGAGCTTTGAAAGAGAATAGCTTGAGCACCTAGCTTTTGGATCTATGTTCTTCGCTTGTTGGTGCATCTTCCAGAGGTATCAAGTTTTGAACTTGCTTTTTGTTATGCTAGTTTTGTTTTGGGTCGATTTTAGGGTTTTTGATCCCAAAGCTTGAAGCCTTATGAGTTGTGAACTCCAGAGCCTAATATATGTCCCTTTGAGTATATTTAGTGGTGTTATGTCATAAAAATCCAATCTTGGACATTGGAATCAAGCCATGCATGAGATGGGAGCTTCTTTACATAAGGAAGTGAGTGTTTTGGGTGTTTGTGACCTTTCCAGCCATGCAAAGGCTTAAAGTCGCTGACATTATAGAGTAAGTTCCATTAGGGAGTCCAGATCTGGAGTTTGAGGTAATGTCTTAACTGTTTAAGACCAAATGAGTATAAAGACTGAATCCGGGGAGTATGTTGAGTGTATTTCCTATACGCCCTGCGTACTACCCTAGTTTCCCCGATGGCTAATATGAATTCGTGAGTACGCTGATCGTACCAAGAGAGGTACGCCCCGCGTAACCTCAATGTGGACTTTTGGGCTAAGTCTCATTTTGGGCCTTGATTGTTGGGCCTGGATTTTGGACTTGTTACAATAGAGTCTTGGACCAGAGATGTAACATCCCAACTTTCGAGTCCAAAAATTTCTTTTAAAAACAATTCTAATTCAAAGCATTAAGAGATTCAATCATACAAAAAGGGTTTATATGAAAAATCATAGTTTCATTTCCAAAACACTTGTTTAATTATTAGGGTAAACATCCCAGGCTAACTTGTCATCGTGTGTGCACTGCAACCCTCTCGAACTCCTCTTCTGAGAACTGAATACCTGAAACCAAAACTAAAAACCGTAAGCACGAAGCATAGTGAGTTCCCAACCTAACGCATACCATACACATCTACTGATCCAAACATGTCATACATAATACTGATCACATAACCACATACTGGGCTCCCGCCCGCTACATTGGGCCTCGCCCGCTATCGGACCCCGTCCGACACAAGGCCCCGCCTGTCTTCAAGCCCTACTCGGAGTACAAATATGTTTTCCTTAGGCCCTGCCTGCTAACATATACTAGCATAAAATAATATCACAACACATAACTAACATGCTCTAGTGGATTACTGTACTAAGGCCTCGCCTATCTTGGGCCTCACCCCTATCCTATTACTGATGAATCATGGAACCTCTTCCACGCTCCTACTGACAGTAAGATACAAGCTTAGGCCACACTCACTCCTTTCCTTACTTGGGCCTTACCCCTGCTCACCTGCTAAGGTGGTATGGAACACTGTCCACACTCTGCTATTGGTGACATACGGGACCTCGCCCACACTCACCTCCCAACCAAGCACATACATGTATCACACAGACAACAAGTATAACTATCATACAAACCATTCCTTGGGCACCTGCCCGCTAATATTGGACCTTAGTCTCGAATGCCATACTAGCATACTATGCCTAGGGCTAACCCCCGAGTCTTCCTACTCATAACTACACGGGCCAACATTGTGGTTGTAGACCCATCACACAAAGGGAGACTCACATGCACTGTTGAACATTGTTGATAACCCTCTGGCTACTGTCCAACAACTCTCCGAATCGCTGCTCCACTAGCTCCCCGAGCTACTAATATCAATATAACACATAGCTCCAAACTGAACTCTAGAAGTCAAACTAAGTCAACTCTGGTCAAAGTCAAAATCCTGGTCAAAGTCAACTCGACTCGCCGAGTCAACTCATAGACTCGCCGAGTTCTTAAACTCAGAAACTCTCAAAATATAACTCAACTCGCCGAGTCACCCCAATACTCGTCGAGTTCAACGATCTCTGAGTCCAATCCTATCCAACTCACTGAGTCACCACTCAACTCATTGATCGGCGTCTTAACCAGAAAAGGCTGAGGTTCTGCAACCAGACTCATCGAGTCCAAGAACATACTCGCCGAGTCCAAGGCAATCTTCAGTAGACTCACCGAGTTGTTCTTCAACTCGCCGAGTCCATTCTCATGTTCATACAACTCGCCGAGTACACCCATGTGACTCGCCGAGTCTATTTAGTTCTCAATCCATATAGTGGCTTTTCGAGCGATGCAAGGGATCCAACCCATAGATCCACTCTTCTAAAGTCTAACCCCCACGTAAAGTTGCAAACTTTACGTGAAACCAAGGAGCTAAAATCCCAAAACACTCTAGGTCTAGGGTTTAAGACAAAGGGGATTCACCACTAACTCATTGACATAAGCTTTATAACCTTCTGGACCATCAGAAGTCTAAATCTGAGGAATCAACCTCAGATCTAGGCCTCTAACTCGACATAGACCTTAATCATGCCCAAAATGCCCTAAATATCAAGCATAAGATAGATCTAATTGCAATAAGGCCAGAGCAACAGCTTATTACCTCAAGGATGACCTCCCACTGAAGAATAATCTAAATCTTTGTAACGCCCCTTGCTCCAAGCTTCTTTATATTCAATATCTCTTCACAAAAACCCCCTTATCTAGATCCCAATTTGCTTCCAAGGGCTCTTACTCATGATTTAGGGTTTCTGGATCTCAGAAGGGGAGTAAAGAGGTTGGGGAAGGGATGTAATGTTCTTTAAATAGGGTACAACCCCTGGGATTAGGGTTTTTCTATTCCAGACCATACTCGTCGAGTCCAATCGCCAACTCGCCGAGTCAGTCACTTACTTTATGCCCCGAATCCTGCTCCGACTTGTTGAGTTCCTCCCTGGACTCGACAAGTTGACTCTTGACCTAGAGCTTTTCCTTTTCTTTTCTTGGTCTTTCTGATTTTGGGTGATACAAGAGGATTATATATATCTGCTTTGGGCCCTTCAGTTGGGCTTGCCCTTAGATGTGAGAGAGTTGGGCCTCGGAAGAGCCCATTTATAATTGGGCCTTGGTGGGCCCAATGGGTTTTAGGTCATCGATGGGCTGGTTAGTGAACTACCTTTAGACCTGATGAGTGAGAGTTGGGACTTAGTTCCTATTGGGATAATTGTGGGTTTGGTAAAGAATTAGAGGCCGGTGTGTAGCAGCCGCGTTTATAGGGGTTGTTCATCACCCAAGGTGAGTCTTATAACTATACTTTACCATGAGTGGTATTTTATGTGATAGAGATGTCTTATGTGCTTATCTGTGTATCATGATATCCTACATTATTTCTTTGTAATTTATGTTGTGTATTACTCAGAGTTTATAGAGTTAGGATCGGAGGGTCAATAGAGTTAGGACCAGAGGATCCATCAGAGTTGTGGGACTAGAGGGTCCCACTTAGACACATTGACCAGAGGGTCTTACAGAGTTATAGCCTTGAGTGGCTAATTATATGTGTGTGGTATTTAGGGGAACTCACTAAGCTTTGTGCTTACCGTGTTATGTGATATGTCTTTCAGGTTTTCTCAGGATCGCGGGAAGGCATCGGCTTGATTGAAAACACCAAATCAGGAGTTATGTTTTGAGGATCTTGGAGTACGGATCAAACAATTATGGAGTTGTGTTTTTGTAAATTAAATCAATGAGATTTTTGTGAGACGTTCTATGAGAATTATATGATTTTAAAATGAAATTTTTGTTTGAAAATTTACGTTGTTACAAGTTGGTATCAGAGCATTGGTTTGAGGGATTCGGGTACACCTTCGGGTATATCTGGCTTCAAACTGAGGATTTGAGAAAAAAATTCAAAAGAAATGATTTTTCTAAAATGAGCAAGAGTTTCTAAGAGAAAAACGAGAAAGAGTAGTGTGTAGAATCAGCCAGAGCCCGAATGGTGATTTCCCAAAATACCCTTAGTTATTTGTGTTATGAGTTTTTATTGAGATATTAGTGATGAATTTTAGAAGACAGGATAGGTATTTCATATTATAGGGGCAAGAGTTTCCTGATTTGTGATGTCGTAGCCTAGGAATTTTGCTATCTGTGATGTGCTTTGAGTATGTGCAGAGTAAGAGTATGCAACAGAGATCTTTTAGAGAGAACTTGAGTAGAGGAGTAATCTGGGAGAGATACCTAGAAGAGAATCAGAGGAGCCTACTGAGAGAGTAATTAGATACCCACGAGGGGTAGAGTTTGCTTGAGTTTGGTGATACCTTTTGAGTGTGAGTAGAACAAGTGGAGTGGTAACCTAGAGTGGCTTTACGTGTTGGTAGAGATTGTTCGATGCGTGAATGCTGCCTGATTCATGCTTTGTGGAACTCTTTATGATGGGAGTCACCTACTAAGTTAATATGACAATATTTAGGAGGTAGATTGCAGAGAAGTGTGCGAAGCTAGGAAGAGCCTAGGGAGTGACCTTTGTCAGATGAGTACGCTGATAGAGGAGAGTATTCGTAGGAGAGGGACCAGGTATGACGAGATTGGTGATTGAGTTGGGTGAGCAGCTACTTAGGAAATCTGGAATAATCTGTGTGGAAAGTATGGGTATATGTGGCAGGTAGTATGGGCTCGTACTACTGAAAGCAGAGGACCTATACTCGATACATGGAAAATTCCATAGGTTCTAAGTAGAAGATTGAAAGGAGATAACATGGTTAGGGTACCATGATTCGTAGCAGATTGAGAGGAGATAACATGGTTCGGGTACCATGATTCATAGCAAATTGAGAGGTGATCAAATCGAGTTCATTTCCAAGGGATTTTATTGGTGAGATGATAGTTGGAGTCGCAAGGCTCAGGGATGAATAGAGATGATGCTTATTGGAGGATCGAGGTCTGAGTCGATCCGTTGGCTAATGGATGAGATGTCTCCTTCTGCAGCAAGAGTTGTGCTGTTCTCGTTTCTGGGAGAAGCAAAAGAGATGTCGAGTTTTCGGTTTCAAAGTTTGGAGGTAAACCCCGTGGGGTAACATATGGTGGTTACATTTTCATCAGCATATTTTGGCAGTTTGTTTGCTGCGAAGTATTTTTATACCACGAGAGAGTCATTGGTGGGACTAAGATGGAAGAGAACAAGAAGCTTCCTTATTGAGGGGAGCATATTTTTAGCAGCAGCTCCAGGTAATCAAGAGGAGTATGTCATGGCGGTGGCCCTCGTTGTTTACGTTTTCTATATTATGTGAGAGTAAGGTCACTTGCTTTTACGATGATTCCCGCGGTGGGAGACTGGTTGAGGAATCATAGACAAGGTGCGTGATAATGTATTATTCCCGAACCGAGAGTTAGGGTTATTTCATAACAGTTGAGGTATCCGACGGTGAGTTAGTCTGAGGTTTCGAGATAACCATCGACAGTCAAGTTGGGAGGATTCTAAGATTCTTGTCTGAGTTATGGGATATTTGGAGTCGCTTTGTTTCCATTGGGAAGATCATTAAGTGTTTGTGTGGTACGTTCGAAGAGTCAATTATGATGTACCTGGTGAAACAGTCTACGGAGTAGATTATTGGTATGCTAATTGGTGTTGGTTCAAACCCTGAGTGGGGGAGAATTGGGCATTCTATTGAGGAGATCAGAAAATCATTCAAGTGAAACTTGTTATGGAGATCTGTGGTGCGGGCACATGAGACCTGAGTTATTGGTGGTTGAGGCAAGACATCATGAGATACTGTGATGATGTACCGAGGTACCTGAGTGATTTTGTTCTAGTGGGAACCCATCAGTTAATTGTCGCTGGATTGAGACTGTCCAAGGGTGAATATGTGTTGAGACTAGTGTCTTTCCTGCGAGAACTTACATCAGGAGTGGTGGTGCATAAGTTTGGTGGGTGTAAGCCCATATTTATGTAGAGCTGCGGAGCATGAGTTGGTGAACTCAGTGTGGTGAGGACTTGATGATGAGGTTATGGGTGATAAGAGAGCAAGTGAATCTAAGTGGGATTAATCTCTTGGGATTATTAGCAGAAATTGTTGAGTGAGCCCATGGCGAGTCAATGGAAGAGACTGTTGTGATACTACGGGAAGCTGTAGTATTCATTGGTTAGAGAGAGAGAGAGAGTGTGTGTGTGTGTGTGTATGTGTGTTTGTGTGTGTGTGTTGTGATACTACGGGGATCCGTAGCATTCACAAGTTAGTGAGAGAGTATCGCAACACTACGGGGGAGGCCGTAGCACTCAGTAGTCGATAAGGGTGAATATTGTTATGTCGGGAGCTATAGTATTCATTAGTCAGGGTATGGCATAGAAGAGCTCTTAGGCTTGGGTAGCCTTACCAATTGGGTCTTCGGGGGCCTGGTTTCCGAACCTAGGGTGAGATGGGGGTCTTCTTGTCAGTCAAGAAAATTTTATATCCCAGGTTGAGTAGGGATTATCATAATCCACTACAAGAAAAAAGGCCTTTTACGACGCTCATTGCGCGTCGTAAAAGGCTCAGACGACGCGCAAATGCGTGTCAAGGAAGGCTCTGTCATAAAGAGAGACGATGCGCTTTTGCGCGTCGTCTATAGACGACGCGCATTTACGACGCTCATTTACGACGCGCGTTTACGACACGCAATGCGTATCAAGGAAGGCCCTGTCATAAAGGAAGATGACACGCATTAGCGTGTCGTAACCTTACGACGCGCGTGTTAATGACACGCAATGCGTATCAAGAAAGCCCCTGTCAAGAAAGGCCATGTCATAAATGAAGATGACACACATTTTTGCGTATCGTAAATTTAAATGTTTAAAAAAAATAAATTTATATATTTATTAATTTTTAAATTAAATTTGCATTTAATTTCTCATAATAGAAATAAAATACCATATACAAAAAATACAATCCATTGCATAATATAAAATAAAATTTCATACTCAAAAAATAAAATAAATTACACAAATTGTAATGTCATACAAAGAATCATTCAAATGTTAAACAAAAATAAAACATTGCTAACATGGGTTATACATTCCTATAAAACTAACAAATAATCATACAACTCTTTTTCTTACTGGAAAGGAATGTCAAACATGATTACAAGTCTCCCTTAATCTTGATTACTCACCTGCTTAAGTAGAATGTTGTTGTTGAGAAGGTTACCTAGCAACAGAGAAAAACACAACACCTCTCCCACAATCACAACATCATTTACAGAGAAAGGTTGTCAATTACTTTCATTAAGACTTTCATTCAATCACAAAAATATTAAATAAAAGGGTGAAACAGTAACTTACTTGTGATAAGTTGATCTCCCTTAGAGCAAACACAGCTAAAGCATTGAACACAGAGAAAGGTTGTCAATTGCTGATCTTTTCAATTTTAGTCCCAACTCATTTTACTTGGAACGAAGAGTAAAAACGTTACAAAAACCTCAAATAACGATCAAATTTGCAAGAGAATTTTGTAGGACCCAAATTGAACAAAATCAGCCATACTCGAGGACCAAAAATGTAATTTTTGCAAAAATAAGTGAGAGAAAGCACCTCAATTTCCTTCACTTCAAATTCTTGGGTGTGTGACAAACAAGAGTTACCATAAGTTTCTGAGGCCAAACTTGACCCATTCAATCTGGGGAAAAAAATATGCAAATTGCCAAATTACCATATTATCCCTCAAAAAGAAAAATAGGAATGATGCAAGTGCAACACTCTTACAAGTCACTATCGAGATACAATGCAAAATGATTTCCCCCACCAAGCGCTAAATACTCAGTTGAACAAAGAGTAAAATACCGATTCACCCCTAATAAATGCACAATTAACATAATAAATCCCAAATAAATATTAAAATTATAAAAGATTTTTTTATATATTATCAAGAAAATGCAGTACCTGTGGGGCGATATATAACAGGACGCCCTGGTGTATTTGTAAACACAAATGTATCATTCGATCCCTGTATAGTATTTACTCATCATAGTGAAAAAGGGTAGAAAAGTCTTTTGTCAACATATAGAGAAACGAAGACAAGACATTACCAGTAGACTTAACCCAGGGCAAAGATTGCTTCTTCTATATAAGGTTGAAAGAGATATGCCATGCCTCCATGTACTAACATATAAAAAAGATAATGATATATCAAGATTCAAGAATAATGTGAAACTGAAAATATGATGAAGATGAAATTTTACCTGTATAGTAAGACCCATTTCTTTCCTTGACTGAGAACAGGGAGTGCAACATAAAGATCAGAACGTGTATTTTCTGTCATAAGTTGTGAAGGTTCTGACATTTTTGGAAGTTTATCAGAAGGAAAATCTGAGAACAAGAGCCTCAACAAGTGCTCCAGTTCCACCAACAGGGTATTCTAAACTACAACCTGGTTTATACCATTCTGCAAACATATAAATCTGCAAATATGTGGATATATATACAGGCAAAAGATTAGACATTTAGAGAACTATAAAATATGAAGGAATAGAATGGATTCTGTTTGGTTGGAATGGAATGGATGAGGACATGTGGTAATGGAATAGCCCATTCCATTGCTTCCTCAATTCCATCATACCAAAAAGTAAAACTACCTTAAAAGAAACTTTTTAATGTATGATATGATTATGTACCATTTCTGCTAAAAGAACACCATCGGATTTCACTCCAGCAAGTAAGAAAGACAAAAGATCCACCCAATTTCTAATGAAAGGATCTTTGAGTCCCAATGAATCAACTATTTCTGAAAAAGGGCGTAAAAGCTTTGTGGCACCAAGAACACCTTGAGGTCCCATTTTTGCAAATGATTTTAGGAGTGGATATGCATATCTAACTCCAGCAGCAGAAACAACTCCCAAATCACCTTGAATAGATAAAGGTGGCAAAGCCATGGCAGCTGCGTATTGTACTGTGGGGTATTCCTTCTTGATTTTAGATTTCACTTGGATCCATGATCTTCCTGCATATATATACATGACCATAAATTATTATATGACTTTAAAGTTGAAAAATGATATCAACTTTAAAAAGGTTAAATGCAAGAAAACTTATTTACAGATTATATAGAAAAACTTATTTCTATCATTACTCATGATTTTGTTATTTTTCAAAACAAAATAATAACTTTCAAATCATACATCCAAACACCCCCATTAGCATTAAACCAATTCATAATCGTTTATCTACTAAAATAATTATAGTCAACATATTTATTCAAACAAGGAACCAAAAAGACCTTACCCTCGATAACAAGCCCATAGTAAAGCATAAAAATCAAGTTGTTCCATGGAGAAGATGTCACTTGTTCAAGCAACACCTACAAATATATAGATCAAATCGCGAATTAGGTGTCATATAATTCAGTTGTAAGATTGTAAATTTCCATTGTTATCCTTATTATCAAAGGTTCTTAGGATACCTTTTTGGCAACTGTTGTCGTGTCTTTTTTGCCCTTGAACAACTTATCCAACAATAAGTGGTAGAAATGCCCAAATGGTCCAAGATATGCACACCCAAAAAGCTACAAACACTCCCGCATTAATATTCTATACTGATTCTATATATATATATATATATATATATATATATATATATATATATATATATATATATATTTGACTGGTGCTTTTTCATTTGTTGCAGAGAGAATAAGTTATGTGACTTTCATATCCTGATATTTTATATGTGACACCCCGACCTTACGGATACTGTCATTTATTCTTAGTATTCTTTAATTCATTAGGAATGGTGAAAAGTTTAACAGCAGAACATGGTAACCTGCTATCTGGTAACACCAATGGTTCCTAAGTGCAAATCAAGAAAATAAGAGCAACAAATATCGCAGGTTTCTCTCCCTCCTTGAAATTGAGCACAAGTCTAAAACAAAAGAAATATGATGAAATTGAACACAGGGCCTAAATTCTTTGAGAAATTTTCAGAATTCAATGAAGAACCATACATGTTCAACAGAAAAATCATAAATCAAAACCTATATATTATCAAAAAATCGGACCTGATGAGAAGAGGAAAAAGGAAGAAGCGTACCTGATGAGAAGGGGAAGGAGACTTCAAAAAATTGGAACAGATGAGAAGAGGATCGTCGACGATTGGTTGTTGCGGGAGAAGAAAATTGGCGTTGAAGTAGGAGAAGAAACGATGGAGTCGCTGATTTCTTCCTTTGGTAGGGCAAGGGTATAAATGGAAACCCTTCTCCCTTTCTTCCTCCTTTCTCAGTCAGTCGATTTTTTCCATCTTACCCGATTAGATTAAGCTTTCCGAGTCAGATACACAAATTTAGTTCATCAAACGTCTTTATCTGACCGGGTCATCAAAAAAAGTCGTTGATGTCTGAGATTCGATACCTTGAACCAAGAAATCCCTAAATCTCTATGAGATAGGAGCGCCGACACCTCGATCGATTTTGTTGAGAAGCATCGAGCATAACACTAAATCTTTTGGGAGTCGCAGTCGCATGCCAGGAGAAGTGAATGTGATGTTGCAGTGGTCTGTTAGAGATAGACAGAAAGGAGGGACATGGATGGAGGAAAAGGGTGGCCTGGTGGTTCTAGGGTTTTTATACAAATGGTGGTGTTAGTAACCAACGATGGTGATTGACCATGGAGTTTCGAGACCTTGACTTTAATGGAGCTATTGTTCTACTTGATATGGAAATCACTCTAAATTTGTAGTTGTAATACAGCTCTTCTATTGATTGAGAGGCTAAGAAAGTACTTGAGGAACTGAAGATAGAGGGAAGTAGATGAAGGGTTTTCGAACTGAAACTGTAGTTCCAACAATAGTCATGGTTCCAAAAACTGTACCCCTTTGATCAATTTCATGGCCTGGTGACCAAAAAACCTTCGATTTCACTAAGAACCGGAACCCTAGTTCCAACAATAGTCGATTTTTGGTATTTGATTGAGAGAGAGGGAGAGAGAAGAACGATTAAAAGAAGGTAGAGGAGAGCTTGGCGGGGTTTTTAATTTTTTCAGAATTTCATTTCCCCCTTTCCCCCACTATTAAAGGATGGAACGCGCGTTCCATTAAAAAATATAAAGCGACATCCTTAGACGACGCACATTTTATTATAGGTGCCCTCCGTGTTTTTTTAGACACTAATTTAAGGGCGCGCAATAATGCGTGTCTTCTATCCTAAAATTTTTTGAAGAGATGACATTTTTCTAATGTCACTCTCCTTTGCGTAACATAGATCAATGAGCGTCGTATTTTGCGCGTCGTCAAAGGCCTTTTTTCTTGTAGTGATCGGAAGGAATTTGAGAGATGGTGTGTGCAAAAATCCATGAATTTTGGGTCATGAGTTGAGTACTAGATTGGAAATGAGTGGTTCCAATTCTCCTATTGAATCAGAATCTCGAGCTCGAGTCTGGATCCATTCGTGTATTGAATAGGCAAGATAAGGTTCTGGATTCATGGATGGGTTTCATTTTAAGTGGGGTATTGACCTGCACCTGATATCTTAGGCCAGAGTGGATCAGTTTTGTTGTTATGAGAAGAACCGCGAGATGTTTGGAACTAGTGGGTGGTCGACGACAGAGGTCGGAATTGAGATGATTTCAGATGAGTTGTAGCATTCGCTTGGCGTAAAGCAAACTTCATGACCTGTGTTTCGCGAAGAGTCGAGATAGTTATCATGAAAAGGAATTCAGTGAGACGTTTTTGGTTTGTAATGAGTAATCTTTAGAGGTTCATCTTTTGGGTCGGGAGCTGACCTGATGCTCAATGTTGTAGGGGATAATTGAGAGGAAGTTGGGGCTTATGTCTATAGATACAAATGATGCTTCCAAGTGAGTGTGATCTTTTCTTGTGTTCGAGTTTTGGGGTTCTTTCCTTCCAATAAGTCATGATAGTTGTTCAGACGGTGGGTCCTTAGGAGACTTTGACCTTTCCGTTCCTTTTGAGTTGCGATTGGGATCGATTATAAATCAGAGTTGGAAGAGTGTTCTTAGGGTCTTTTGGCCCATGTTATATTAGTAGGATGATGTTTTGCGAGGGTGGTCTAGCAGGGAGATAGACCACTAGAGTTTGGAGAGTTAGATCGAGTATCGTAGCGGCAGTTGGGTCTGTCCTTCTTCGGGGTTGGGAGTTCCTGTTGGGTTTAGGTGTTCTTGAAAGAGATTTTTGTATGATATAAGGTCCTTTCGATGGTTCTTCTCGGATTGTTGGCCTCAATCTATGTGTTGATAAGGAGCGATTTTGAGGGCGAAATCTAATTCAAGTAGGGGACAATTGTAACATATTGTTCTGGATAGTTTTGTGATTTTAGGCTCGTGGGCCTTAATCTGAGTATGAAAAGGTTTCGAGGCTTTGAAAGAGAAAGGTTTAGGCACTTTTGGGATCTGGGTAAGGTAGGTTATGTGATAAAAGAGTTTGGTTTGTGCTTTAGAGCCTAAATGTATTGCTAAAGGTGTTGGTTCGGGCTTTTCATAAATTTTGATCTGAATTCGAGTGGGCTTCTGGAGGAATAAATTTGATAGAAGTGTAGGGCTTCTCGTTACCTTTTCGTGGATATAAGGATCATCATAAACAGATTTATAATGAAGAAGTTATGGCCTTTAAAAGTTTTGTGGTTTCAGGCTTAGCCAAGTACGTTGGGCGTACTAGTGAAGGAGGAAGTACGTTGGGCGTTCTGACCATGGGTAGAAGCAAATGTTCTTCGGAGTACGCTGGGTGTATGTTGATCTCGACCTGAACCCTATTTTAGGGTCTAGGACCCTATTTAAGCTCCTTATCTCATAACCTCACCCTAATATCTTCTGCCTCCATCCCTCTAAACCCTATAAATCGACCCTAAGCCTCCATTTGAGTGATTCTTGAGCATTTTGGTGATTTAGTGCGTTTTTGGTGCATATGATGGAAGAAGGTATTCCTTGAGGAAACATTGCTTGGCTTGGAGCTTGTGGATCCAAACCCTAAAAATGTTGATCTTGATCCACAAAGCATTAAGTTTGAATCTTGGTGGCCTTCTCATGTGGATCTAGTAGGGTGATCACTTGTTATGTTTGGCTTTTGAAAAAGAACGAGCTTTGAAAGCGAATAGCTCGAGCACCTAGATTTTGGATCTATGTTCTTCACTTGTTGGTGCATTTTCCAGAGGTATCAAGTTTTGAACTTGCTTATTGTTGTGGTAGTTTTGTTTTGGTCCATTTTTGGGTTTTTGGTCCCAAAGCTTGAAGCTTTATGAGTTGTTGAACTCCACAGCCTAATATATGTCCCTTTGAGTATATTTAGTTGTGTTATGTCATAAAAATCAAATCTTGGATGTTGGAATCAAGTAATGCATGA